TCCGCTAACCAAGAATCGGTCTATACGAGATAGAACAGGTTGATCCCGATTCGAAGACCAAGTAAAGTCTCCCCCAATCATAGGCATATCCACCAACAAATTCTCCCTAATAAAATCCGAAAATTCCTCCATAGCCCCAGTTAATCTCCCACCACTCGACCTTTCAGTGGGAAATCGAACCACATTAAAGTCACCCCCAATACACGTAGGGAGATTCCACCAAGCCATCATACCAGTCAACTCATCCCACAAGTCCCTTCTACTCTCATCAGAATTTGGTCCATAGACTCCTATGAACATCCAATGAAAACCATCCCCAATATTTCTAAGTGAGAGCGACAGCGAATATGTCCCTACACTAACATCCTCCATGTCATACACCCTAGTATCCCACATGATAAGCATGCCTCCTGATGCCCCCGAAGACCCCAAAAACTGATATCCGACATGCTGTCCCCCCCATAAGCTACTGACCACATCCCTTGAGACAAACTCCAGTTTAGTTTCTTGCAAGCAAACAAGGTCCGCCCTCCATCCCCTTAACAAATTTCTAACACCTAGTCTTTTTACAACCTCATTAAGCCCCGGCACATTCCAACTAATAAGTTTTGGGGTCATTTTAACACTTTGTCATCCCTCCCTAGCAATCCTTTCCTTGACTCGCCACCCTTAGCATCATAATTTACTGACCATTCGAGCCGCTTAAGTTCCCGAACACCCTTCCTTCTTGCTTTGCCTCCTGGTATACTCATCTCCTGCCCCCTACTAACCTCCAGTTCCTCGAATAATTGCATAAGTGTACTTTCGTATCCTTCACAAGACACGTCAACCAACTTACTGAACTCCTGAATTTTTTGAAGGACCCAATGTAAAGGTAGGGGTCCAGCTTCAATCTCATTCACCTTCATTATCTCCTCTGCAGGACAGCACTCCAAAGGGTCATACGAATCTCCTTCCACTTCCTCCCCCTGTACAACCTCATTGTCAGTCTCCCCCTTCTGGCCGCCTTGTACCCACAACACCAAAGCTTTTTCAGTCTCTAACTCCTTTTCTTTTAGGGGCTTCACGTGCCTTCTATTATATGTGTTCCCAACCATAACTGCATCACGCGCCACCTCGGGCTCTTTCAGGACTATCGATGCTGATTCTTTCACCAATACATGTGTCATCCCGTGCTCAACTAAGAGTAATCCATTCGTCGACAAATTCCTATCCGTCGCGTCCAGTGTAGCCAACTCCAGGTTTACCAAATTCGGTACCCCTCCTTCAGACTAGGGGACCGCCTTTCGATCTGCTACGAACCCTGAAACTTTCCCTTGCGTAACCAACTCCACCACTGCAACCCCATCATCAATTCCGGAATGTACAGTTTCAGTCTGAGTCTAAGACTCGCAATTAGGCTTAGTCCTACCCTACTTGTCTTCCAAGTAAGCTGCATTCGGTGATGACTCATTAGGAACCAAGATCTCTATTTGTTTTTCGTTGACTAGGGAACCATCCACACCAACCCCACACTGATGACAATAAACCATGTTGGGGGTCGCCTCAGACCCACATCTCACTAGCTTGATTAAAGCATCCAACTCTTCTTTCAAAGTCTGGACGCGGGCCCTTATTTCAACATTGTTTATTATCCCACCATGTGAACCTTCTGCATGTGTCTCCATAGGCTTAGGCACCCCGAGATGGTCGTGAACCATCCTCACATTATACATCCTATCATTTCGCTTTATCCCCCGTTGGTCAACTTTATGTGATGTCTGTAAGTTGGCCGTAACTTCAACATAAGATATCCCTTGTCAGGTTCTTGCATCCACCGTTTGACGTTTAGCTTTATCTCCAGCCACAAATGAATCAACAAAAGCCCTGAACACCCTCGAAAACGATGTCCATCCCTCTCCATTCACACCCTCCGGTATCATCACAACTCCAGTTCGACGCCCTCCTCCATACTGTGCTATCGTCAAGTATCTACCACGACTGTTCGCACAACGTTGTGCCCGAAAAGCCCGTGAAGACTCATTAAACTTGGAGACAAAATCCCCCGATTTACTAGCCGCTCTCAACTTATCCACCAAATTCACCATCCATAGTGCACCAAACCTCCCCATATAGATAGCGGTCAACATCCTTGAGCCCCATTCTATTATCCTAACAGAACCCGATTCGTTAACAGACACCTCAAACTCTTTCGTCTCAACTCTAAATCGCCGATTAAATACCAAACCATATGCATCCACCCGTTTTTTCCTCCGATGTTGAAAAAACGGCAAATCTGATGACAAAATTGGTCTGCTGATGATGCTGGGCATGTTCTGCTGAAAAGACCTTTTTTCCGGTGGCGGCGCGTGTGCTGGTCCGCCGTGGAGCGGCGCGTGGACCACTCGCTGGACTAACCGGTGTAGGAATGGGCCGCTCATGACGCCGGTCAGGCGCGTCTGCCTGGGAAGTGGACGGATTCAGGTAAATCTGGGATTGGTTCCCAGATTGTTTCACTGTAGAATCTCCACCAACTGTGCCGTCGCCGGATGTCTCCCCTTCAGCCCATTCCGTCGCACTGTAGATCCCTGCACCAGAGCGAGCGACGATGCTAGGGTTCCCACCTAGGGCCGCCGCTTGTGAACGTGGGTGGATATGTGGCGTGAGGCCGGTGAGTGATTGTCGGGTGGTGTGTGGCTGGGTGGGTCGTGGGGGGGTATATTTGGATTTTGGGGAGAGGGACTCCATTCTCTGTTGTAGATACGCGAGCGTCGCTCACCAGAGCGTTGGAGACCGAGAGAAGTTACGGAAAAATATGTGATTGAACATTGATATGTTCTTGATTCAATCAATACGTAATCGGGTTGACAGTTGGCCCAATGAAAATATTTTAGAAATATGATTTTTATATTCTAATGCATTAGCAAGATTCCATTAGAGAAATAAACTAAAAATTATATTTAAGTTACAAATCAACACTACATGAATCTAATAAAAATATTGCAAGCAATTTCAACAATTTATTCAAGATTCAGATAGCATATGTACATTAGAAAAACGAATTATAAAGTAGTGATGCACTTAATTTTATTACAAAAGTCAATATCTAAGTTATTTCATTAGATAAACAACATTTTATTTTTTATTTATTTTGCATTACAGCTAAATTACAACAGTGCCTTACGTTATAAAGCCAATGCCACTTCAATTGGAGATGAGCAGGTTTTATGGGGGGAGATACAGTTTCCAGGTTGGATTTTTTAACATCAATCAGGACAATTAGGCCTCTCAGGTTTTGGTCAAATTCACTTGCATTTTAAGAACTTGTTCAAGTCAAATGGGTCTAAGCGGTCATTAAACAGTCTTTTGTGCTACATGGCCTGGTTCTCCTGGTCTGAACGATGGGCAGAGTTTTGAAACTATGATCTTCTTCATTACCCACGTGATCTTAATAAAAGGTTCATACACTTCTTCAAGTGAATACATTTAAATAATTCTTCTACTTGGATCAGAAGGTCATTTAGAAAGTATGATCTTCTTCACTACCCACATCTTAATCATAGATTCTTACACTTCTTCAAGTGAATACAATTAAATAATTCTACTTGGACCAGAAGGTCATCTAGCTCTCTAGAAAACTCTCTACAATACTAAATTCCAACTGAATTTCCAATCCTGTTACGACGTACAAAACATAAAATTTTAGTAAACTGAATAATCAAGCAACTCTTTTAACTAAGAGCTCATAGCCGACAACGTTAAATAACTGCTTAGGCCCTATCAATCGCCAGACTACCCATGTCCAATCAAATTTTAATAACACCAAAGAGCCTTTTAACTTCCAACATGATAAATTCAAGTAGCCTACTTAACATAACTAATCTGAAACAGCCTACTCAACATAAACAAGCACAAAAATTCAGCCTAAACTTCATTTAATCTGCTCCAAATCCAAATACATGTGAAATACCTAATTATCCCTTTTTATGCACATAATCCACATCCACATCACATTAAAATAGAAAGAATGCTTTTTTTTTATCAATCGCCAGACTACCCATGTCCGGTCAAATTTTAATAACACCAAAGAGCCTTTTAACTTCCAACATGATAAATTCAAGTAGCCTACTTAACATAACTAATCTGAAACAGCCTACTCAACATAAACAAGCATAAAAATCCAGCCTAAAATTCATTTAATCTGCTCCAAATCCAAATACATGTGAAATACCTAATTATCCCTTTTTATGCACATAATCCACATCCACATCACATTAAAATAGAAAGAATGCATTTTTTTTTTTTGATTTGATGGTGAATTTGTGGTTGAAAAAGAAGAAAAAGTTATTGATGTGATGAAAAATATTATTTTATTTTATTGAAGAATGTGTCGTTGAAAATGAGCACATACATGAAGATCAGTCAGAACATTAGTTCTCAATAAAATCAATTTGAGCATAAGAACAAAAATTCATATGTTTGATGCACATTAAAATGGAAAGAATGCATTTTTTTTTTTTTGTGATGTGATGGTGAATAAGTGGTTAAAAAAGAAGGAAAAGTTATTGATGTGATGGAAAATATTATTTTATTGAAGTGTGTAGTTGAAAATAAGTAGAAGAATGAGAATGAAAATGAGAATGAGAATGTGGCTCGAACAGGGCCTAAATATATCCTTCTCTAAAAGCTTAAGCCTTAAGGTGAGTACATGGCATAAGTAAGAGCAGGCAATAGGTCCCAAGTTCAAATCTCACTCAAAATCGTACACGAGACGGGCTTTGATGGGGGAAAAAAAGAACCCTAACTATGTATGAGGGGGCATGTTGAAGTGGTTCTACAAGCACATTTCTTGTTCACATTTTAGCCTAAGTCAGGATGTTGAGAATGGCAGAATGCAATAATAAAGTAATTCCTCATAATAATAAACTTCTTGTTTCACAGAAACGTATTTAGTTAGCAAAGGACTATAATATCACTTTGGCTACATAAATTCCATGGTTAACATACTGGTGAGGCTTCTCATTCTGTTGAGAGTCACTAAAATCTAGGTGAGAAAAAACACAAATATTTCATGGTCACTAGAAGACTGCACATGCTAAATTGTTGATGTGCCAGAACAATTGTATAAATGCTTAGAACAAGTTATTATTGAGACTCTATGCATTAAAGAATAGCCATAATCATAGATGAAAAAACAACCATTTAGAAATGTATGTAAGGTGGCTTGCAAACATTGTTTTCCAACTGAATAGCTCATATCGGAAATTAGGTAATATTAATGTTAGAAAAGCTCTTTATCAACTTCATATCCTCGCTGAAATGTCTTGAGGCCAATATGATTGAATATCAGGATGGTGCAGTCAATTTTTCTTCAAATGTGTTGGAGGCATAAGATATTACTTCAGTACCTAAACTCGAAATCAAGAATCAAGATCTCACCTATCTATTAAGATATACCGTGTTCAAGTTTCAAACATACAATGCGCACATCAGAACAATACATTTTTCCTACTCTATGAATAAGAAAAGATCTGCAACACTGAAAACAAAATTGCAATATTTGGTCATGCTTTTCCTTGGTATTGGATATATATATTCCTCTATGTTCCATCCTTTCACTCAACATTTGAAGTCAAGGTACAATTTTTGGCTAAACAAGTGTGAGACTTACATTTTCAGTTAATAGCTGAAAGAAACTATCATAGATAGATTATCAGCTTTAGCAGTAAACACAAAATGGGATTACATGGAGACAGCTAAAACATAAATATAGTCAGCAAAAGCAGAATATACACAGTCCAAAAAAGAAATAGAAAAATTTATACCAAGGAATATTCAAATAATGAAAGGTGAGTCGAGAGTCATTACTCTGGTGCATGATAACCAAATGTTCCAAGAACGCGAGTAGAATGAAGGCGAGCAGCCATGTCAGGAGCCTGATTTGATAGGTTAAAATCTGCAATTTTGGCTTTATAGTCTTCAAACAGAAGCACATTGCTGGATCTTATATCTCTATGTATTATAGAAGGCTGAACCTTCTCGTGCAAATATTCCAGTCCCCTCGCGGCATCAACAGCAATTCTTACACGTTGCATCCAATCAAGTACAGGACCCGGTTGTGCCCCTTGTACTCCTTTTCTTCCTATTATTGCAAATACAATTATATAATCCTCTTTTTAATGCCTACGATTTGCCAGGAAGCTAATTAGACTACATACCATGCAAAATGTCATGTAAGGATCCCATGGTTGCAAACTCATATGCTAAAACATGAAGATTTCCATCTACACAATAACCGAGCAACTCAACAAGATTTTCATTCTTCAGTCTTGACACCATTGAGACCTTAATGAAAAAACAAAATGTTGTATATTTACATATCCATGCACAACACATAAAATAAAAAAATGAGAGTTGCAATTCAAGAGACAAAAATATTTGAAACCACAAAAAGTTGTGCACATACCTGAGTTAAGAACTCAACATTCGAATCAGGCTCAGACGACACATCAAGTTTCTTAACAGCCACCTCTTTTCCATTATCTAACTGAGCAAGGTATACTCTTCCATAAGATCCTTCGCCAATTAATGCACTAGATCCAAAATTATCAGTTTTTTCTTTCAGGTCCTCAAGAGACAATGCAGGCACTTCAATAGGAAGTACTGCCTTCTGAGCTTCAGGTTTCACAGGGGCTGAAGCCCTAGAACCTCTTTGATGCCCTAGTTTGGAAACCCATATATAAATAAGGTGAACAAAATAAAAAAATAAATTTTCTTATGAACCTCAATAGAGCCCAATTAACTGATTCAGTTGTATAACAATATGAAAGAAAGTAAAACTCAAATACAATCTGCTCCAGAAATTATAAGCGCCAATTTAATCCAATCATGCCATACATATGTCCACCTCAACAATAAAGTAACCAGCAGCAAAATGTATAATTAGTACAAAATGCATGAATATTCTTCCTCTGAAAAGGGTATTCCATTTCATCAATATATTCCAAAATCACACATATACAGTGTATACATCTTAGTTAACACAATTTTTGTATTTCTTATCCTAATTATTGTCATTTTGCATGTCTGTATGCCCAAGTAATGCAACTGTCTTACATCCACTAGTTCTTAGAAAAAAGAGCCTTACTATTTATCCAACTGATTTATTTGAACAACAAAGCTATGTTATTTATCTAATTGATTTATTTGAACAACAAAGCTATGTTAAATGAGTAACTGCTTAAAAAATAACAAGTTCTTCTGCAATAACCATGCTATAATCAACACTAGCAACGCCTCAAGAACATTGTGAATGCATGTAAAAAGAACAATAATTGCACAAAAGATTATTGTAAGCATTTATTTGGGGCGTGTTCGATAGAGATTAAAATTGAAAAAGTAGCATTATTGTTGACTTTTATTAGACGAGTGGGACCCAACAACAGCCATATTTTCAATTAAAATTGGATTTTAATCCTGGGAAAACATGCTCTTATATTTCAATCTACAATAGTTTTTGAATGTAGGCAAAAAATGTGCAATTAGACCAAAAAAAAGAATGACATGTTATCCATATTCACACTTTTCTACATTTCATTTATATAAACGTACAAGCATTTATGCAGTTTTTCAAAGAACAGAAGACTTTATATATCCAATACAGTTTACAAACATTAATGCTGATGAATATATGTAATCACATGTTCTTAGTGGGGTGTATCCTTAGTTTTTGCCATTTCTCATAACAGAAGTCCGAAATTTGTTCAATGAGTGTCAAGTTTTTGCCAGTGACTCTTAATAGGCTACTTTAGGGCGGGACAAAACTCCCGAACAGAACCGAATCGGACCGAACCGAACGGTTTTTCATAAGTTAAATACCCAAACGAGTATCTGAATCGAGAACCAACATGTTTGGTTTGGTTTGGTTCTCGATTCTAGACCCAGAACCGAAGAACCGAATTTTTAAAAAAAAATTAATTTTTTATATTGAATTAATTAATTTTTTTTATTTTTTTCTAAACAAATTAGCAAATTAACTAATTTAGTGATTAATGTTCTAACTTCCAAGCCAAGTCCATACTTAGCTAGCCCAACTCAACCTAATTTTTAAATTTCATTTTTTGATTTAATTTTCTGGTTCTATTATTAATTTTATTCTTAGCCCTTCTTCCCTTTCAAATTTCACACTTTCATTCGATAACCTCTGTGTCACTTACCCCAAATCATTTGATAAATTGAAAACCTACATCTACATAACCAAATTGAAACCGCCGACTGCAGAGTCGACTTTCCCTCTCCAACTACCCATCAAAGCCGCGACCTCCAACCACGACTACTGATCCTTGACCATTAGAATATGTTAAAAAATTTAGTTATGGTATGGAATCGAATAGAACCGAACCGAACTGAATCGAATAGAACCGAACTCGAACGGTTCCACAATTATGTTTAGACCCGGCGGTTTCATTTATTAAATACCCAAATAAAAAGCACCAAATGGTCAAGAGAAGTACAGTATGCCAAAAAAGCACCAAATGGCAAGTAACCCGTACTTGAATGGAATACCATTCTTTCTATTTCGTCAGAGCTCGCAACATTTCGTTTAGAATACTATGGCACCAAATAAAAATAACAACAGATGGCACCACTTGAATTCCACAACATCTATCCCTTTCAATAACATCTCTGACTTTGCACAGAATGTCAGTGATGATACAAGCCTAATCAAGATGCTTGATGCATTTCTTATGTTAGATCAAACTCAGTGTCTTCCTTGAACTGATCAGAGAAAGGACAAACCAAACATAGCTACAGCAGATACTTCAGCATTTAACAGAGGTGAGTTGTGTTAAACGGTAGGAAACTCGAAAGCATATTTCCCTCCACCAAAAATCCATTATATAATGAAAAATTTGTCCCTTGGGTCTAAAAAAATATTTAAATACTATAATTACACTAATGGGAAAAGAACATGATTGAAACAGTAAATAACATAACTTATGCTTTATAAGCACCAATATAAGCCTGAAAACTACAAGAACATACCATCAGCATAATATCTTGGGCTCTTGAGGACCTCATTGTCATTTGATGCGTAAGACTCCTCCATTTGACAGGTACAACACAGCCACCTACGCATCCTTGCTCTCTTTCTCAAATAAAGATCGTCGTCGGAGCTAGGTTTCTCCAAGGGTACAAAGTAACCAGGAGGAGGAGCATGTGCCTGCACCACAACAATTAAACGTGAAAACAAGTAAACACCACCAACAACACTTCATAATGAATGCACTTTCTGTAACAGCTATAATGTCCACATGAACCCTCTCTACTCGCCCCTAGAAAAACAATAAGAAAACAACATAAATACACATGTAACACCAGAACTACATTAAAATTTCTATAATAGCTATAATGTTCAGAACCCTCTCCAACTCACCCCTATAAACCAATAACATATACAAAACAACATATATACACATGTAACTCCAGAACTACATTAAGAATATCAAAAACTTAAATCTCAAACAATTACAGACATCATACTCAGAGAGAAGTTTATCAAAAAAATTAGAAAAGAACTCTGTAGGCAACCATCGTGCAAAAAATGTCCAAAGGACAGAGCTTATTTTCATCTAATCATCTCAAGCCCCTCAACTTAATAGCCGAGCCAACATCATTTATGAAAGCTAGAAGTTCCAATTAAACTTGACAATTGTATCCATATCCAGACTGAAAATTTCATGATTTTGGCACCCAACAAATGACCTAGATATCATAATTTCGTGAAATTACACTCACTGCACATATACATTCACATGCAGTTTAAGGATCATTTATTAGGCCACAAACATAGGACGATCAAAAGAATTGTAAAAAACAATTCAATTAAATCATTTCTCAAACAAAAATAAACAAGGAAAAAAACCCATTAATTCAGAACCCCAATTAACAATCCTAATCAATATTCTCACCACATAACCACGCCTATTGATATAATTGTCGTTCATGACCAAAAGTTGTAACTGAACGACAAAAATAAAGCCCAGAAACTGAATAATCAAACCAAACTGATAGAGAAAAAGATGGACCCAAGAAAGAGGAAAACAAACGTAACAAGATATAACAGCAAACAAGAGAGAAATATGGAAGCGTGAAAAATCGAATTATGCAAAAGCTAAAAATAATAACAACCCCCAGGCCCCAAGCACCACAACGCCAACCGAAACTTGCGGGTATCTTTGATTCTTGTTTTACCTGATTTTTTCAGTCCCCCTTTTCGCGTGCGCCTCTTTCTTTGGGATATTGTATATCAAATCTAATCTAAAATATAGGTGGGTTTCTGTTTCGTTGTTTTATACACAAATTTATTCAAAAAGGGATCAAAAAAAGTGAGGGTGGATGGAAAGACAGATAAGCCGACAGGCAGGCAAAATGCAAAATTATCGAACGAGTGAAGAAAGGCGAAACATTCCATTAAAAAAATAATTCTGGGTTTCAATAAAATGATAAATACACCACAAAACATTTATGTTCCCTTGTACCACCCATTTATTCTCGTCCACATTATAAAGAGAAATGGGTAAGGTTTTCTTCCATTCATACTATTTTTTTCTTAATTATATTTTCAAAGAAGGGAAAGATAAAGAAGAAGAAAACTTGATTTCCAAAAAATGAGTCTGTATCTCTTAAACTTGATTTTTAATTTCAGATAAGTCACTGAAATGCTTCAAAATTTAATATGAGAAGATGGGATACCGAAGGTAATTGCCACCCACTTGCACATAATGAACAAATAATTTTTCGCTCCAAGTCCTCTTTTCTTCCCAAAACCTTGGTATTCTCAAATCCAATTTAATTTAATATCTAGTTTTTAACAAAGGGGGCTTTGTCTAGCTTTGAAATTGGGCAGGATTCATTTCATTTGTATACTTTCATCACATCACATGCCATAATAAATATTCCAAAAATTTTATTGTGTATGAATTCTCTATTATTAATTCTTTACATTATTTAATTAATATTTATTTTCATTTATACATTCAGTGTTATTAATTTTAATTATAAGTTCATTAAAATTTCACATTCAAGAATGCATTTCATTAGCATTCATTATTATGTATATATTCCCTCGTATTAATTCAAATTAATTAATATTCACGTTAATTCATGTATTGTATTTACTTTAACCATTTGAACAATATTTCATGAATTATTTTGCACCTAATTAGCTATCATCAATGTACATTTGACATATTCAATTCAATCGTGTGCTTTCATTACATGAAATCGAATTACAAACTATAAAAAATACTACGAAATCCTTACTCTATGTATGTATTCTCTATTATTAATTCTCAATAACTTTCATATTCATTTAATTAATATTTATCTTCAATATTACTTTTACAATATTTATAAAGTATTTTAGAATAACATGCGATACAAGTTCAACTTAACTAGTTTCATAAAATGTGGAGATTAAAGTAGTTTGAATGGTTATTTAAGTGCTCCCATTTTCTAAAATTCATTTTTTTCAGTTCAGTTTTAACAATGCATTTCATATGATTCACAACTTTAATCAAATTTGTAACCACACTGTTAAAGTGCAAAGCTCGAGAGGATAAAATTAAAATTCTTCTAATTCTTAATGACCAAAGTGAAAATTTCAAAAGTAAATTTGAGGGTAAGAAGTCATTTGTTCCAAAAAAAAAAAAAAAGTTGCACCTTTATGAAGTTGAGCGTATTTGAGGCTTAGAAGGTAGTTTCATTCATCATGTGGCATTCCATAAACACAGACGACGCCATTCTATTGACACTGCCAATTCTTGAGCAACTTCCATGAACATTGGTATAAACTTCTCGACTTCAAATTGACGGTGTTTTATGCTTTTAGAACCTGAAAAAGTTGCATGAACGACAAAAAGATTTTTATTGGGCCTTATCTTGCAAATGAGCATAACGAATATCAATGGACCCATTTCAATTTTGCAGTTTTATTGAACTACAGAAGCGTGGTCATTCATCAATAGCTCGAGAGAGATTTCATTCTCAACCATTTTCCAACTGTAAGCGAAGAAATAGCTAGAGCTAAGAGCAAACCGTGGCTGCTTTTGATGTAAGTAGAACACTACGGGGAAGAAAATATTTCATTCTAAACAATGACTAGAAATCACTCGACAAAAATATTTACCACAGATGCAAAGAGGTAAATTATTAACAATAGGGAGATAATTATCAAATGTTTCAGGAAGGAAGAACAAGTATCCTGTTGCCTGGACTGAAACTCGTGTTCTTACGATGCAGTAGCAAAAATGCACAACAGCGCTCATTTTCCATCATTATCGCCACCGATTTGTGTAGAGTTTCCACTCCAAAAGGCATTTATGTCACTGAACCAACTATCATCCTCTTGTTTCAAGGTGTGGATGTTTCCACCTATTGAGTTTTTTGATACCCAATCAATCTGAGCGACAATGTTAAATCATATTTTGTTTGGATTATACTTCATAGGCCTCGGTCGATGAGTGAAGTCAAATATCGACACCACAATTGTTCAAATCGATCCCACAACCTTTTTGGACCATTTGAAGTAACCTAATTGTGGAAATTACACAAAACCATACTTTAAGTATTCAACATTCTAAAATCAGATTGAAAGTTTGATATTTCAAAAATCAAAAGTTTTTTTGCCTAGCGTTTGATTGGCTTCTGACGTCCATTCTGTTGCACTTCATCTAGCTTTTTATTATTTGAGAATACGGCCCTTTCATTTTGGGATTCTTATTCATCCTCTCTCGGAAATCTCATTTGAGATATTAAATCTTCTACTACCTTCTTTTGATTTTGGTTGATTCTTAGTGAAATGTTGTTCCTCTTGTAAAGTTCAAATAAGGGTGTAGGTGTAATTTTGAGGTTCTTTGTAAACAATAACTCAATTTCGCAAATTTCTTTTAAAAGATAAATATTCGGTGGCTTAATCTTTGTACTTTGTGAACAATCTTGTAATCTTGGTTGCCGTTTTGTCTATTATAGCGCAAAACGAGCATTATCCATTTTAATGGATGTTCAACAGAAGATTAGGTGTTAGACGTGGTAATCAAATCTCCAAAGTTTATGTTCGAAAAAAAAAAATTGTGTTCTTCTTTTAGTTTTTGTCATGTTCATTTCTGAACTGTTAGACATTTTAGAGTAATTGTGTAACTTATTATTTAAACCTAAATAACAATGAATGAACTGGGCTGTAAGCAAAAACCGCAAAATTGGAAAATCGAACCGAAACCGCAATTTCGATCCGACTGTTTGGTGCCACGTGGACTCGTCAACGAAATGGTTTTGAACCAAACCAAACCAGTCAAAAACGGTTTGGTTTAGGTTTGAGAATTTTAATTATGGTTTGAAACCAAACCGGACCGGCGAAAAATATATAAAATAAAAAAATAAAAAATTGATTTTTTTTTTGAGAATTTATCCAAAATTTCAATTTTGTAAAATTGAATAAATTTGTCATTTTGTAGGTATTTTTATCAATTTCTAATTTCCTATTTATTATTAAGATTTACGACCCGTACAAGCCTAATTATATATAAAAAAGGCCCAAATTTGAAAGAAGTAGCACTAAACATTCCAACGCAAGTCCATATACTCACAAGTCACAACCCTAATCTTCCAATTTCCATTTCTCTCACTCGCAACTCGCTGGTCCCAACCTCGCTCCCTGCGACGCCTCCTGGTTTCCCCCAAATCGTCAACACCCTCGAAATCTCGAACCTTCCAGACTTCCAGTTGCCGGTTTGGTTTGGTTCAAAACCATTCTTGAGTATATGAATGTTTCTTTTTTTTGCTAGTTCTGTGACAAAATTTGATGTTTCTTGAGTTTTGTGACAAAATTAATTCGTTTATTCATTTTACTAGTTAGAAAAGGGACATTATTATGTTTTTTTGGACCTTATATTTATTTTAGTGGACTTGTATTGTATCTTTATCGTAAAGTATTATCCTAAAACGTCAAAAAGGCGAACAAAAAACTATGTTTCAGTTTATTGTGACTTTACTTTCATTTTGTTGGTATTTAAATTTATAGTATATATATTTAGTTTGTTTTAGATTTAT